GACTCACACTTCTCATCATCACAGTTAAAACACGGGTCACCGCTGCAGTGACTAATCCAGTCCTGCTAATCCAGTTGGAACAGGTACGAGCAGCAGATGTTGGACCTTCAAGATTCAGCGCACAAGAAGTCTAATAAATGTTTACCGACAGTCGTATTAAATGGTCAACCGGCCAGTTTTCCCTGATTGGTCGTTTTAGTAGCAAACAGGGCGTCCACACAGTTTGTTTTTATTCGTGCCTGCAGCTCGGTGTTTGGTACGAGGTGAGCAGATCCCACGTGAGTGAAGACGAGGTGACATCGTTTGTGCTAAAGGTGGAATATTTGAAAGGTTCAGAGGGAGACGGAAACAGGCTTCAGAAACACGACTCGCCTGCAGCAGCTCGTTTGTTTTGATGTAATATTTTATGACAAAATACAATCGCACGAGCAATTAGAAAAGCTCACAGGTTAAGGCTACAAGTCAGCCTGACAATTTTAAAACTAGCCTGGATGTCGAGGCAAGTTCACCGAGAAAACACCTGATTTATTAGAACACGAAGCCAAATAATCACTCCGAAACCAGAACATTGCAGTATTTAATTCCTAAACCACAAACAGGCCGTTGATCTGTCGAGTCGATGACATGATCGGGATAAAAATCAAAACCTTCATGACAATAAACCTGAAACATGGCGGGAAAACAAACACATACATAACATGCCTTTTTTTTTTTTTTCCCCTCGTGATCATAAAGCACTAACTGACAACCACACACTAACTAAAAGGGACACGCACACGGTCAAATTGTGGTTAATTTTGGTGGCAGATGGCACGCCTGTCAAACCCGCTGGGCGCTCTGGCAGGAACCCAGCGTGAACGCTCGTGTCGTAATTTCCAAAAGCTGGACAGTAGAACACAATTCGGACACATTCATTTGGCTGCTTTAGGTCTAAACAGACGAACCTCTGTCGTCTGAGTAAACCAGTCACGTAGTTTCACACGAGAGAGTTTGAGCTTTTGGTGCTTAATTCATAAAATGACAATAATGAAAAAAACGTTTTCCAACTTCATATTATCGCAAACAGCTGATGATTTTTTTCCATCACTAGTTGTCGTTTCATCCGTCAAACCAAAATCCACAAATATTCACTTTACAATGACATAAAACAGAAAAAGCCAAAATGCTCACATTGAAGGTTTTTTTTTTTTTGACATCTTTCCTTGAAACTAATCAAGTAATCAGCTAATCCTTTTAACGAACACAAACACAAATAAAACAATCAATGTAATAATAATTTCGTACATCATCGCTGTGGTTCATTGGTACACGTCAGACAGGAAAACATCCAGAATACACGACTTTGAAACTACAGTTTGTTCACAAAATGTCAACATGACAAGAGAATGTTGTCAGAAAGGAACAGCATGTAATGATCCTGTCAGAGTACAAATCCTCTGGAGGTATTTCCCAGCTCCACTACATGATAGCAGCACATCCAGTGTTTCTTTTCATCACATGATAATCTGGAGGCACAATCATCTGTGTTCACGGCAAACTGCCTCTTTTAAAAATACAGTATTCGGTTCACAGTCGGCGGTGGATATAAAGTCGACATGTGTGATGCTAAGAGGTGATGAGAGGCTTTATTGCTGCTGTACCTGCCGTCGGCTACCCCGCTGATAAAATGTCACTGCTTGTGTCAACACAACCTCTTGCCCTCCTTTCAAATGAAGAGCGCCGCTCGCGGCTAGCGCTGCGTTAGGTGAGTCGGTTCAAAAACACAACCAACGCTGCCTCATTAACGGCCTCGCTCTATGTAAAGCTTGACACAGTATCATACCCCAACAATCCTGCTGCTGCACACAGACGTCCACGGGGTTTCCACTTTAATTCAGCTTAGAAACGGTCAACTATGGGATCCTGGACCTTTGTGTTTTTATAATAATGCATGCAGCTAAGCTATACGCCCCTGAATTTATAAAAAACACAAATAAAAACATCTCTAAATGTCTCCATTAAGCAGCTAGTTATCAGGTAGTAGGGCTGCAATTAAGGGTTATTATAACTCTGAGTTAATTACTCGATAAATCAATCAGTTGTTTGTCAGAAAATGGTGACAATCAGTTTTTCCCAAAGCCAAACGTGATGTCTTGTTTGGTCCACATCTGAAATACATACAGTTAAACGTCAAAAAGGTGTAAATAAACCACAACATGTTCACATTTAAGATGCGGGAATCTGAAGACTTCCTCTGTCAAATTTACAAAAAACAACACATGTACTTCAGTTTATATAATTCCAGTCATAAGCCAGAGATAGAAAGGCAAAAAACCCAAAACATCATTCAACTGAGGGACTCATTTCACCAACACAGCTTTAAAAAATGCCCCCAAAACATTAATTTATTAGCTGACAACTAATCGATCAACCGATTCACCGCTGCAGCTCTGCTAGCTAACAGCACGTTAACATGTGTCTGTGAAAGCTCTCCGTGACATTGGCAGAGCCCTAAATCACACCTGATGAACCAGCTGAGCCCTTTAGCAATCGATTATAATAGTTCTCCGATCATAGAAAGCAATCAAGACGTCAACCACGGACGACTCAAACACTCACCTACTTGACAGCATTTAAACCAACTGCAGTTCTGTATTTGTTCTGACCCGATCATCGGTTTACAGGCAGTCCTGTACTGGACCAAACACAGGACAGCTGAGTGACATTCAAGCCTTTAAATATTCATGTTGGCGGAGAAAGTTTTGCATTGAGGGTCATTTGCAGTGTAAATGTGAAAAGGTTAACGAGTTTCCTGCTGCTCATTTAAAGCGAGCCTCAGGTACGTCAGCTCATGTTAGGTTAAAAAAAAAAAAAAACACATCACCACATGTTAAAGAAGCCAAATAACGTCACACAGAGGCGACCTAAAAATAGCGAGCGTTTCCTTGGTTATACATCCAAGGAAGTAGGAGTGTGTAATAAAGGAACTTGAAACATACAACATAAATAACGTGCTCTAAGAACAGGATAAAACTGTGACGCAAAATCACTTCCTCTGTGCTTCCAAAAGCAAATCAAGATGTGCAGCCAAACAGGAAACCCAGATGTGCTCAGAGCCAGGCGCACCTTTAGCCCCGTTTCTAGCCATTTGTCAATACCTCTGGAAATTCACCAGAACAGGCGGCTTACGCCCCCCGCCACCAGATTAACAACCTTTGCTCCCCTCAGAAGCTTTTATAAGACTATTACCAGGTTGAACCGGTGGCGCAGATAGCCGGCGTTCTGCAGGGAAGTAAAAGGTGAAATGATTACGAGGCCGCCTGCGTTCCTGAGGGTCTCTTTAAATGCTATCGCGCCTCGTTTTTTTTTCCAGGGGGCTGTTTGAACCGAGGTCCTCCGAAGCACGACTGTAAGAACAGCTGAGGCAGCCGAACCCAAATAAAAACTTACCTCCATAAGCGGAGGGAGGGGAAAAAAAGCACCTGTGTACGTTTAAACACACGGGGGGTGAATTGTTCCAAACTTTTAATTTGCATAAAACTCATTTGAAGAGGTCTCGGTGAGGTTTCCTCCTCCACAACATCTTAAACTGTTATCTCAGCGGCTGCCCTTTTAATCACACTCAGACCTCCGAATGTTAATAAAACACGTCCACATCGTTCTCGAAAACTCAATTAAATATGAATGTGTGTCATTTGTGGTGGTTTGACACAGGCATGTCGTTACATCCAGCGGAGGTCTGCCAATTACAAATCTGCAATCTTTAAAAAAAATGTAATTAAAAATGTACAGATGTGTTTATCACAGAGGAAGCTGCACCGAACGGTCCGCAGCTCACTGGGAATGTGAACAGAAGTAATATGCATCGGGGAAAAAAAAACACAGGAACACTTGCAGCCAAACTGTCAAACGCAGCGTCGTCATGTTTCACTCCGGAGTCCCGTCCCGCCTCTAAACGGAGCGAGAACATCTCCGAAGCCTCCTACTACTCGTGTAGTTCAAAAAAATAAAAACCCTCGTAAATCCGACAAAAACGCCACTTGAGCCCAGCGCTGTCTGTTCCATGTGAGTCACCGGACAACAATAATTATGTTATTTCAAGCAGGCGGCATCCCAGGGTCTTAAAAGGCTTTCAGAGTAAAAGAAAATAAAAATATGGAAAGGCACCACGGGGAACGAGGAGGCAACACTCGACGGTCCCTACTGTGAAACTGCTTGAGAAACCGCTTTTAACACCTTGTAAAGCACTCAGGAAAAGATGGAATGACCTCCATTACAAGCATGTAGATGACCTTTTCCAGGAGAGTCTTTTTTTTTTTTTTTTGCCACCCACTCTCTGGCACATGTGCTTTTTGTCATCACAAACTAATCCAGCAGTAAACATTACAGCCTCTTCTTTTTTTAAAATACATATTGAAATGTCTACATGACAGAATTCCCTTTGAAAGTAACTGGAGGTGAGAATAACATCTGATATCTGGGCATGAAACTTGTCCAGCACAGCGGCCGAGGAGCCAAGTATGAATCTGATTTAGGAGGAGGAAGGGGGGTGAAGAGCCTCAGAACGCTGGCTGGCGACCGGCCACGGACGCTCGACAAAAACCACACGACAAATGTAAAAGCTGCAGCCAAAATTTACCAGTATTGAGCTCATGGCAGGCAGTAATTTCCAAGCCTGTTTAAGCACTTACTAAAGCTTTTCAAACAGCCTGTGTGTTCTCGCTCATCCGGTTCAACAACGTCTGCCCGTAGGACGGTACGACAAAACCGTGGCCCAAAGCTGTAAAATTCCTGTCGTTAAAAACGGTTCAATTGCACACAAGGGGTGAGAGTTCTCAGAGCAGGCCCTGCACAAAGGGACGAGGGACAAAGACAGGTAAGAAACACCTGTTCTGACCTGCCTCTAAACACCCAGGATCCATTACACCACTTTTTTTTTTACAGCAGCTTCGTTTTTGGTGCATTTACAAAGATGAGACTTCTTTCACACGCCAAGACAAACCACAACACTCAACCCGTACCTGTGTCTGTGCTCGTCGTGTCCTCCCTGTCCATGTATGATCACCTGTCCCGAGGCGTGCTTCCCCTCTTTGGGCGTGTCAATGTGAGGGATGAGCACGTCCTCCAAGCCCAGGTCGAACCGCTTGTGCTTGGAATTGTCCGGGAGGAAAAAGAAGGCCCCAAAGCATAAGGTGATGAAGGCACTGAGGATGAGGAGGAGGATGAACTTCTCGGACAGCCTCAACGTCGCCCGGTGATGCGGGAAAGAGGAGGCGCCCGGCGACAGAGTGGGTATCCTGCGGCCCGACAGTGGCAGGAGAGCCGGCGTCGTCATGTTTCCAGTGTCGGAAAACCAAATCAACTCGAGGGGAGGGAAGGGGGGGGTGTGGGTTTCTACGGGTGCCACAGGTGTTGTTGTAGCAGCATGCACCGACCGGCTGGTTGGCTTTATTATCTCATCCCTGCGTTGGTAAATCCGGAAACCAAAACGAGCCGAGGTCCCTCAGTGGAGGAGTGACGAGTCAGCAGGGTCATGACGATTCTGCAAAACACACATCAGTAGACGGAGTTAGCATCGAGGACGAAGGTGCAGACCAAGAAAGAAGTAAAACAAAAGCCCACTTGGAACATAGTTAGCAGAAAACTGCCACCATTTTAGAAAAAAACCTTGTTTGTGCCTCCTTTCACTTCAACCACTCTATCCTCCACTCGGCACTCTCTGTTCTGTCAGGAGAGACGAGCCGATACCCTTTATAGTCTCTCCTGTAGTTGTCATTTGTCCAAACCCTTTGCAGCAGCTCCCTGACGGGCTCCCACTGAGCCCTGAACCGCAATCAAGACACATGGCCACAAAAAAAAACATAAATGTCATGTTATCAAGGGGTTAGCTGAAATACCAGCGTAATAAAACAACTCTCTGGCATGCTGCGGAGGATTTAACAACATGTCACCTCACACAAAACACTTCAATCCTTCGGCCATGAGGAAAATGACATATTCCTCCAGAGGTGCCGAGAGGCTGCGCAGTATCTGTGTGATCAGCTGTCCTCTGGGCAAACAGGCATCACTGTCAGGACTGCAGAATGAGCCCAGCATCCCAGTTTTTGTTGCGGTGAATTGTGCATATCTTGCTATCAGACTGATAAAATTACAAGATAAGGCTGCGTGCTCCTGCCACTGGCATCCACAGGAGTCGACCGGAATAACAATTCACAGCAGTCTGGTGAAAGGGGGCAACAAACACCGCATGCATGTCTATTTAATGTGAACTAATCTGTGTGATACCCATGTGGCTGCACTTGGTGAGAGAGAGAGAGAAAAAAAACGTCTGTATCCTCTAGTGGCCGCGTATGTTGAAAGAAGAGACGAGTGTTTGATTCCTGCTCCGAGTGTGAAGGATGGATGCAAATCAAGCGAGCAGCCCCTTTAAAAGCCCGAAGGGGATAACAGAAAGCCAGGCGTTATCACAAACGTTTATCTCAGCCCGTTTTATTTATTTCCTACCCTGTGGTTTTTTCCCCAATCAGCTCGGTATGAAGCTACGATGTCTCGGCGCGTCCACACAGAATACCAAGTTCATTCTCTGACAGTGCCAGCCTGTGTGAGCTGATTAGCCGATACAAAAAAAAAAAAAAAATGCTAGCTAACAAGCTAACTTATCCTGCTAATAACGGCTAGCGGAGGGGGAAGTACAGCGTACAATAAACTACCCAAGAAGAAAAGTGGTTTAAAAATTAAAAATAACACATCCCGATGTACACGTTCGGGCTCGTTGACATTATAGTTGTGCTAAAGCCCCGAGCTTTGAAAGCGACTAGCCTGCTAGCTAGCTACTCCGGCTAGCGCTGGCTAAGCTAGCTAGCTAGCGAGCTAGGCTAGGAGCGGACAGAGGCGGTCTCCTGAGTGGACGCCGCTGTGCTGCATCACCTCCTTTCTCATTTGCTCGGTGAAAATCGACGCCAGCCACAATTCCCGGTGCGCCTTTCGGAGGGAGTCGCGGCGGCGGGTGTCCTCATTGTCCGTTGGATGCTTGCCGCAGTCGTGACCCGGCGGCTGTGGAGCCTCTCCGTTCTCCCGTCGCTTCAGAGCCACATAGCGTTACAGGCGCTCCGGCGGATGTTGATGACTGGCCGCTCTGTCGGACTGCAGCGACGGACTGACGGAGCCGCTGCTGCTGCTGCTGCTGCTGCTGCTGCTGCTCGGAGATCCAGCATCAACTACTCAGCCTGAGCGACTTAGGGGCCGTCTCACAGTTCCCCTGCATAATATGATGTAGCACACATTAAAAGATAAATAAAAATAAATGAAAACATGCCCTAAACCTGCAGACAGGCCTCCTGGAGCTGCTGCTGGGATTATTTCTAAAGCTGTGGAATGCATAATTTAACCAGATTTTTATTTTCTTCTTTTAAAATTGCAGTGCCGACAAAAAGTATTCACCCCCTTTGGAAGTTTTGAGTCATGATCAATTTAATTCTGCTTTTATGACAAAAACAACTCTTTTGTGTCAAAGTGAAAACAGATTTCTGCAAGTTAATGGCAATTAATTAAAAATGTATTGTAAAATAATCTCTTTTTTTACTGATTTCAGTTATTATCTCTTTAAGTTTTGTATTGTTTAATGCATTCATTGTTTTGTGGTTCTTTTTTATGGACCTGTCCAGAGACATCAGATGCAGATTAGCTGCTAGCTAACTCTGGTGCAGTTTCCTCTAATTCTGTGCTTCTCTTGCACAAATAAACTAATAAACTAAACTTTAAATCATCTCAGTGCAGTGAATGCGTGTCAGTGATTGCAGTACGTGTCTGTGTGGATTCTCAGTCATCCAGGTCGTGATGATCGAGGGAGCTTCAGTAGAAATCAGCTGGACTTCTTATTTAGGCTCTTAAATGTTTCACCTCTTATGGAGGAGGCTTCTTTGGATCGGTCGACGGGGAGCTTCAGATGTTTATCGTCACTCCAGCTCACGTGGACTAAAGTCTTCAAAAACCTACAAAAGGAAGTCAGGTTGCTTTCTGCTGAAGCTCCGAGGGTTGTCGTATAAAGACGCCTGTATCTGGAAGGTCCAGTCATTCCTGGATGTGACTACATCATGAAGAACACTCTATGCTGCTTCATTAAAAGGTTAATAAGTCAAATAAAGTCAGGGAATGGATACAAAAAAATACAAGTCACTGAATATGTCTTGGAGTCCAGTTAAATCCGTCATTAAGAAAAGGAAACCAGTGGCTGAGGACACCAATGACTCCTGTGAAGGAGTTAGAAGCTTGACAGAGATGAGACAGAATGGGCATTCAACACCAACGGCCTGTTTTCCATCAGGCGTCTTTATATTGTGCAAAGTTACGAGTCGCTTCCGTGTCGTCTTTATGTTGAAACTGAACAACACATGAAGTCGATTCTGTCGTCTCTAAATGTTCCCGTACACATACTTGAGCTAAACTCTAAACACTGAGGGTGAAAACAGAAAAAATCCAACTTCTGAAAATGTGAAATTCTCTAAATTCTGCCATAATATTTTCCAAAACTCCATCTGTCCTAAATTTAAAACAAAAAAAACAGTCACACATATCTAAACTGAAAGCCTTGAATTAAGAAACGCATTTTAGTGGAAGCACAGAGGTATTAAAGCTCCCTCTTTTCCAGAACAGTATGGGGTTAATTTTCTAAACTGTGGTCCCATTTACAGCCACATACATGATAGAGCAGCGTGAGTTTACGGGCGGGGCGTCTGTGTGATAAACAACCTTATCATCATGGGTCGTGACTTTGGGTTTTTGGTCAGATCCACCAGAACGGAGTTATCTCATAAAACCACTTGGTATAAAGCAGCACAGTGCCACAGTGTGTGTTCGATATGTAGAACATGATACTAATATTGCAGCTGGCTAAAGTGGAAGTTGACCACCTTCACCTTCAATCCATGTTCAGCTAAACTGCTCTCAGCTCAGCAAATGACTTGAGACTCTTCTCGCATGCTGACTTTGATTCACTCCCGTCTGGCCAACGTTTCTGCTCTCCAAGGTTTAGATACAACAGCTACGATAACTCTTTAGTTCCTTTGACTATAAAGCTGCTGAAGTCTAACATGAACGACTCGACTGCAGAGATGTTATCAACATGTTGGTTTGTTACGCAGCCGCTCAAGACAAATGACCCTCCTGGGACACATAAAGTACATCTGATCTGATCTCAAGTTTTGCTAAAATCCTTATAAATCTCACGCGCCCTCGATATCGTGTGCGACAGACGGATGAATGCGGTTACACAGTTCCTTCATGTGCAGCAAATACTGGCTGTAACCGATGATTTCACGTCATAAAGATTCATCTGATTTGAAAAAGATGCATGAAAAGGTCCCGTCCCAGACTCCCATCCATCTCCACCACACTTGGTTTGATCTGAATTGTGGCTCCTTTAGGTGGCAAATAAAACAAATGTCAGATTCGACAAATAGTGAAAACAAATTCAAAGAAATCAAAAACATCTTGAGTGCGTAATATAATCAGATAAAACAGTTAAGGGTTTTTTTTTAATTAGAAACCTTATTAAAGACAACAGCTGATGCACCAAAGTGCCGTCCAGCAAAAAAGATAATTATTGGAGTTAAGAAAGTAAGAAGAGTAAATAGTGGGGTTAAGGTCACCCAACAGTGGTAGTTATGATGTAATCTAACTGAATAATTTACCTGTTAGTGTTTAAACCCGGGGCTGCAGGTGGCTCAGTGGTTAGCATCATTACCTGGCAGCTAAAAGGTCACCGGTTGGTGTCCCGGTGAGGACACCCGGGATCTTCCTGCGTGGAGTCTCCATGTTCTCCCCGTGCAGTGTGGGTTCTCTCCGGGTTCTCCGGCTTCCTCCCACACAGTCCAGAAACATGCTGAGGTTAATTGGTGATTCTAAATTGTCCGTAGGTGTGAATGTGAGTGTGCTTGGTTGTCTGTCTCTAAGTGTAGCCCTGTGATAGACTGGTTACCTGTCCAGGTGAACCTGCCTTCACCCTGAGTCAGCTGGGATAGACTCCCGCCCCCCATGACCCCAGTGAGGATTAAGGTGTAGAGATGATGGATGGATGGATGGATGGATGGATGGGATTAAACCCAACAACATGAAATACTACTTCACCAGACTATGCAGTGATGCTAAGTGTGGAAATGTAATAATATTATAGCTAAGACCCGAGTGTATTATACATTACAAGCGTTAACTGAGCTAATAGAAATGGCCGAGAGCCCTCAGCTTTATTATTTATGGAGATTAACCTGATTAATTTAGAGTTTAGATGAAATATGGATGAAAATCCAACAAATCCAAGCAGCTCCCAGATCCCCTGTTTATGTGGATTGTCTTTTGCTTTGTTTTATTTTATAGTATTTTTTTGATGTATTGTTATATTTCATTGGTGAAAGCAGACGTCTGCCTCGACCAGCTGGGTTGAGGGTCAAAGACAGAGAGAACAGAACAGCAGAGACAAACAGGCAACAAGTAAGACAACACAAACACTGGACAGGTAGACCTGCACAACCAGAAATACCTGAGAGACGTCCAGGGAGGAACAAGTCAGTGACATGCAGTAATAAAAGTAGCTGCATGGAGACAATAAACAGGCCCAACAACAAATACCATCAGTCACGAAAAAGTCAGATAACAAAAGTGAGTCTTAAGAGGAGATATAAAGTAGTTTGTCTGCGTAGCTCCGAGGTGGGAGTTCAACAGCCAAGAGGCCCGAACAGCAACAGCAGAGTCGTCTTTGGTGACAAGTTAAGAGTTTCCAACTTTCCAGAGCGATCAGCGAAGGCGAAACCATTCGACTAAGATGATGTTTTGGATGCTGTATAGGACACAGAGCTGAGATTTAATACCTGAGGGTGACTGTACAGACCAGCTAACTTTGGTTTTGTTGGGTTTCTCCGTATACGTTTTGCACGTCCTTGAGATGACGGGTGTTGTGGATCGGCCGGGGGCGTGGAGGCCCGCGTCAGAGCTGGTGAATGGGACTCACATTAAGCGGCAACCGTGCAAATGCTTTCAACGTTTTCTTTGCACCGAACCGCAAATCAAGCGAGCGTTAAGAGCAGAACAGGGCCATATAAAACAGAGAGGTCTTTGTAAACCATCGTTAGGCTGATAAGCACAACTCAGCACTGGCCTCCCACACACTGAGAGATTTTATGGAACAACAGAGTACATGATGTCCTCCGGTTCTTTCCTCAATCTTCTTTCCTTCAGATGAACAACCTCATTATGCAGAAAGTAATCAAGAGAGAGCGTAATGTGAACATTTGTTCAACTCAAGTCCAAGCTGCGTTTGTAAAACATTTAGCAAATCCTTTGCTTTACCAGAGGGAGAATATATTAAAGCCAACAGAAACCTGTGTAGAAAAAACAAAACTCATCAAGTATTCAGTATAAAAGCATCAGTACAGTCACCTGTTCAGTCTCAGCTGGTGCTGCTGAAAGTGTTGCACCTGAAAGTCAAACTACTTGCTGTGTTCAGTATCGCTCAGTGGTCTTGTGTCTTCTTTATGGGATTTATTGAAAGACAACACAAATGTTTGACACCTTGTTCTAATCATGCATTTAGTCGTGTCCATGAAGTAACAGCGAACACAACACAAGACCTTGTTGATGCACATTACAACACATTACTTTCTACAGTTTTCAGAATTTTAGCTCCTTTGTCCACATTTCCACACAAACATTCATCCTAATAAAACTAAAACAATTTCATGTATTTTTCTTCATTCTTTCTC